TGGGTTCCACTTAAGTGTCTGACCTGACGCGTGATGTCCCCGAATGGTCTTCCCAGTGCATGTCCATTCCATTTCCACTTCCTTCCAGTGCATATTTGTTGAGCGATAGGTTCTCGCTTTGTTGGTTCGTTGCCAGCCAGCCAGCCAGAGTTCCTTGTTGTTTATTCTTTCTGGCCATTTGAGATAAATGATTTTCTACTTTTATTCGTGTCTCCAGTCATTTTTTTCGACATCTTATCTAAATAGTTTTCTCCCCAAATATCCCATAAATGTCACTGGAGTTATTTACAACACTCTTCAGAATACAGTATCATATATCATACTCTGCCTTCAGTTTTTAAACCACTCCAAAATTCTTTGCTAAATCCCTTTCTCCCTTTCTAAGTATAACAATTTCCACATGTTTGTTATCAATGAAACAAAGCACTTTCAGTATGCGCTTCAGATTTAGCAACTAAATCTAAAAATAGACATATAGTGTGACAATGGAACCATTTCAAATTGCTTCATGGTAGGCCTGGAGAGTACCACCTTACCAAAAGTAATCTATGAGCTTCATTTCTAAAAAAGGTACATAGATAATAAATTTATACTTCGTGGCGAGAATACTAACCTCGAAAATCTGCTTCAAATTTTCAGCAGCATTCATTTCTTTATCAGCTTCACTCTGAAAGCAGAGCTAAACTCAAAATTCTACTACGTGGATGTCCAACTTCAAAGAACAGATGACAATTCATTCCGGAAATATATTTATAGAAAGCCCACTTGGAACTTGCAGTTTAGTAATATTTAAAGTTTTATCCGCATAAATAGAAAATAGATTTTTATACATTCACTCTCCTCAAGAATAAGAAGAATATGCACGAAGGATACCGTCAATCGTAAACTAGAAAAGTTAAAGGAAATCCTCATGGGAAATGGATACCTACTGAAATTTATAGTTACGCCAAAAAAAACGAAATGCTTACAGAATGCTTCGAGAAAGACTCAACTGTTGAACTTCAAATTCAAAAGGAATAATGAGTCAGATATCCGTAGGAGCAGACTATCAAGATACGTAAAGAAAACATTTTTTGCAGACAGTCTTAGAATCATACTCTCTTGTTAGAAACTCATTCATGAGTGTGTGAAGGATAAGCTGGAGTATTGGGTCAAATCACTGTGTAACAGTTTATTTGTTTCTGCGGAACAGAGTGCATTAGTCACACCATTCACCAGCTTGTGAAACGCGCTCACGAACACTACCCAATCTGACTGACAAAGGGAGAGTGGAAGTACACCTTCACCTGTGCAACGGAACACAATAAAATCAAGACACTTGACTATGGTTGATAAGTCCTTCAAAAGTTTGTACAAAGTACAATCAAGCCACTTGAAAGGAGTAAAGACATCTGGACACAGCTGAAGCACTAGCGATTCAAAAGTTCAACCTATCACTTTGCTTTGACTTTTGACCAGAAATTATTCTTGAATGTCCTATCATTTCTACTATATATTCATAAATATGAAGTTAAAAGAATGATTTTGCCAAAAGATCTTCGCTCCACTCGTCTTCTGTCTTCTATGGTCAAATGGATTCGTCTCGATGTTTAAAGAAAAGAATTCAATGAAATTTTATGACCTTAACTGTATCATTTTAACCCTATCGTTTTTGTCTATAAATCCACGAGATGGGCATCTTCAATAATTATTCCGTAAAATTCGATGAACCTTGAAAACAAAACAGGTTGACAGTGACTGGTGATTCACTTCTATGTGATACTATTTGAAGTTCAAGACCTTGAGTAGTAAGGTATATAACCAGTATACTGAGTGATAAATTTTAGCGATAAACTTCACTAATGATAACAAACCGTAATATATCGAAGTTATGAGGTTCTAATGAACTCCTCAACGTCACTGAATGCTAAGTGAAGTGCAGTTCAATATCTTACTACTGAGCTTATCTGTAACATCTACATCTGGATTGACAAGTTTCAGTCAGCTTAGATGACTAGACAGGATAACACTGATCGCCCTTTAGTGACAAATCAGTGAGGCATTTACCATCATAATAATTCATTATAATCACTGAAAATATTCAAAATAGTTTCTACATCTAATTCTTCTTCAGAACTTAAAAGTAACTTCATAAAAGTAGGCTTATCGTTTTTCATTTAAAAATTATTTTACAGGTTTAATGCGGGAATTAGATATCATCAGAAGGACAAATTAAACTGGTCACTAATCAAAATGTTTTATGTCAATTAACTGATAAAATATTATTATTATCACTGTTATATTTTACATAAACAGTAGTTTTTGCCATTATCGTTTCCGCTCGAAAATATTATGACTGATGACAGTGAAAATATGAATACACTGAAGAATCTGTCAAGTGCCTAGAAATATGTGAATAATAACCTTGAGTAATATAACTGATTAAGTTTATGCTAATATATTCCCAGTAGTAGAAAACATCTCTACATATATGTATGTATGCTGTAAACAAAAGTGGATTATTGTTAAACATTATGTGTAGTTGATCTACACAGATACGTTTTCTGCGTAGATGCTGTTTCTAATAATCATCAAAGTGAAATTTTGTTGTGTATACTACATAATTATTTAAAAGTTGTTAAACAGTATGACAGGAATGAATGAGTATCAAAACGCTAATAGTGAACCAATTTTCCCGGAATTTCGCTTATGCTAACTTAACAAATACATTGTACACTGGTTTTTCAGCCTAAACTCTAACACATACTAAGTAAATATGCTATTTAAACCAAATTCATCGACTTTAAAATTTCTTTGGATAGGTAAGAAGGATTTTATATATACAGGTAATAAAATCTCCGAATTGAGTCAGGATCACTAACCATGTACCGAAACTAGTGAAACTCTCGAAACTGATTTGTTGAAACTATCTTAATCTGGTAAAGTGAATTTCATGGAGCAATGTACAATAAATTGAATGACTATTTTGTCGAAGGTTAGTAAAAATTACAAGGTCATCTTCAATATTTCTCATAGCTGAATACCTTTTTAAACGTTTAAGATTGGGTAAAGTCCAATCAATAACAAGCTTTCGATTAGTATAGCAATTACAAACTTAATATTCTAAATCACTAATGATTCTGGTACTCATCTTATTATCAGTACTTTAATATTGAATTATTTAGTTGGAAAACAATTTTTTTCCAAAAGAATTTGAGAATACGTGATCAATTTCTAGTTGAAAACATTTTCAATATGCTGAATAGAAAATCATTAATTCTCTGAAATGTTAACAGCCCTTAAGTAGAACTTAATACTTTACTTCAACTCAAAGGAAAAATGACATTCGTTATTTTTTTTAAAAATGAATGTGGTTACAAGATACATTAGAACTTTTTATCCTAAAACATCGTAATCTTAGAGCTGTAGAAGTAACAGAGCTAAAAACCCTCATTCTATACTAGTTGGGTTAAATTTTACAATAGTACTATAAGCGTTTCTCTTTTATATGTATATTTATGACACCTACTTGATTAAACAATCAAGAAGATTAGATTTTCTTACTCTGAAATAATTGATTTTTGATAGTTTGTTCTGTGATATTACAAGAATTCCTCTAACCATAGATAGACAGGAATTTAGAACGTTAACAGAATACATTTATAGTAGTACACATAGAGAAGTCTTACTTATCTCATATTCTCAATCAGTTTCTTGATGAATATCATGACTATCAAAGTTGTTGTTTCTACTCGACTAGAGTATCTCAGTATCTTGTTTGTGTTAATAGCCTTATTCGAACTTAGTGTTTCTCAGAAAAACTTGATCCAGATCTATTTATTATTGCTACGCTAAATGCAAAAGCCTATGACACTACACAAATACATACCCCATACCTATAAAACACTAGTTAATAAACGAAGGCTTAAACCGAAGAACCTCATTCTCATCTGTGTGAAAGTTGGGTTCCATCATGGTTCTTAAATAAAATTAGGCAGGACTTATGTTGATTGGTCACGGGAGAGTAACCAAGTCTGTATTCTCTAGTTCTGAGTGCTGACAGAATCCTATAGACCAGTTTGTCTCCTATCTTGCTAATCATCTTGCAAAATGGCCGGCAGAATTCGGTCAGCACTCAGGCACTAGACAACATGAGATTAGTCTCTCCTCAGCGACCAATCAATGCATGTAATCCAGACTTACATAAGGTTAGTCGAGGCTCAAATAGCTCAGTGGTAATGTCGCTCACTGAAAAACTGCTTGAAGACGGTCCAAATCTCACATCTCCCCTGGGTTCTAGATACGCACTGATAACGAGTTCCAACAGTCATGAAACCTAGGTCCAGACCTTCCTACGGATTGGCTTGACAAACCAACATCTATAAAAGATGCTTGAATATATGACCCAGTCACAAAGATAAACAGTGAGCTACTTTAAATCGTTCTCTACTCGCTAAATAACTGCCCTATACTTACAACCCAACCACCGAATGGTAGCTAATGACATATATCCTTCCTTCAAAATACAACACCAGATTCTATCCACAACAGAGCCCAGTTGCACATTCTGTTGTCCATACTATGGAAACCTGAAAAGATTATTTCAATAGGCAGCGAAAACCAAAACATAATATTCATTACTTTTTGTTAGTTGACTCTGTACTTAATACAGTTATGTAGAGTATTATTAGGTCATATAAGATTAATAATAAGAACGAACAAACAATGATACGCAAGTCTAGTGATTCTCACTGATCATTTCAAAATATTCACGACTAAAATACAATTCAATGAAATGTATCATTTACCCTAGCAACATCAGTGTATAACCTAACTAACAACCTTCATCTAGCATTGATGATAGTTGTATTGAACTCATTAATTGGTCTTCATCATTTCTATTCACTGAGAAAAAGCAAAATTTTATATGTAAACCTACAATGATCTAAAGATTTATCAATGAAACTTAAAGAATAAGACATAAATAATAATTTCAAGATTTAATCATAAAAATAACTTACTATTATTTTCTGCTTCCATTGCATAACATAAATATATTCCATTATATGAAGTGATAATACATAAAATAATAAATGAAATCAGTTCAATTTTCAACATCATTATTTGTTTCAATTCATTACTTCTTGAATTATTTTCAAGGTTTTCTGAAATATTTACACAAACATATTCAAAAGTAAATTGATTATGGTAAATATATATTTTCCCGTTTAATATATCATGATTTTTTTTAAAAATTTATATTGAACTTTGTATAAAAGTGATAATAAGAAAGTAAAATAACGTGTAGATTTGCGTATTTTAACTTGATTTAATCCATTTACAAATTATTGAACTGTTAAACCCTTTAATACAATAGTCATTTTTTTTAAAGCACATTGATGTATACCTGTACAAACATGAATTATAAATTTACTTACATTTTATCTATGTATATACTATTTAGTGGAGTATCGATAGGAGTGTAGGTATCCACGTGTATTGAAATATATGCATATACCTACAGACCCACATACTTAACCATACACGTACAATAGTGCACATAGTTATGGATATGTATGCGTATATGTTGTATCAAATAAAAACCAATACAATTAGTCGTTCATGTATAGTGCTTGAATCAACCGTTTCAACAATAGACATTGCAATATGGACAATAAGAAAAGGCTAGACAGTGAGTTTAAATGAGAAGTGAAATACTTCAGCGTATATAAAAGTAGAGTGACAAGCAAAATAAAGAATATTCTTCAATGATCATGTGTATATTTTTTTTTGTCGCCACGGTATGTATAAAACATCAAATCTGATTGAGATTTTTAATAAATTATCTGAATAGAATAGATATGAGTTCAAATTGTTTCTATTCAGGATTTCTGTCATCTAGTTAAATTGTCAATCAAAAGGTAATGAATTCACTTTAAAAGTTCATTTCTATCCTTGTATGATCTTTTTTGTTCAATAATGAATAAACATCAGTAAAAAAAAATAATCACAAAAGCTATGTGTAAAAGAAAATAATCAGTTACCAAGATAGACTAGTCAACATGTCAGTAGGTTTCAAATAAGATAAGAAAAATGGGGCATCACCATTATGCCTAATTCATTTAATCAAATAAATCAGGAGTAAAATAAAAATTATGAAAGTCATGAAGCCTTCAACTGAAATTCTTTAGTTTACTTATGGAATGATCAATCAACTAGTGTATCAAATGTAGTCACTGACTTATGTATATCAGTTATCCAGTATTTTTCCATTATTTTGTTGCTAATAGAAATGAAAACTAGTTGTCTATTTCAGTTGTATATTTTAGGCTAATTTTGATTAAATTTTGAGGGGTTGTGGAGATTTGGAATTATTTCAAGTTGTTATTCATCGAAGACTGACATCAGTTGGAGGAACAAAGGAAACCTGGGAGCACTGGACAGCTGTTTCGTCCTAGTATGGGACTCCTCAGCAGTGCGCACCCACGACCCCACACCAGCAGGGATCGAACCCGCGACCTTCGGGTTCCGCGACCAGCGCGTTACCATTGAGCCACTGGCCGTGAGGACAAATACTCAACGATGACATTGGGTGGCGGTCTGCGCTATATCGTGAGCTAACAGAAGTTGGAAATATGGAGCATTGGATTCTGACCCAGTGGCTCAATGGTAACGCGCTGGTCGCGGAACCTGAAGGTCGCAGGTTCGATCCCTGCTGGTGGGGTCGTGGGTGCGCACTGCTGAGGAGTCCCATACTAGGACGAAACAGCTGTCCAGTGCTCCCAGGTTTCCCTTGTTCCTCCAACTAACTTTGATTGTTACCAAATTAGCAAGTAGATGATATGATGAGATACCAACAACTGAATTTATCTACCAATTACGCTATAGTTATACAGAAAACTTAAAAATATTGGTAATAACCATGATTTTTGCATTCAGCGTTCATTAGTGATCTAAGAAAAAGCCAGATCAGTAACCTTGAGGTCTCAGTTTTCAGCCTTGATTCACATGTTTACTACACTCCTTAGTCACTACCTTCAGAACAAAGATTGAAACTTTCAGGTAAGTCTTACTTAGATACTTAACTTACTGAGCGAAAATATACCAAAGGTACTTTATTAAACCAAAAACTATCCTTCCCGTCATTAAGCAAATTAAAATGTATACGTTTGGGAAACTGATTGATCATAATGCAGTTTTTATCACGGAATAACATTAAATAAGAAATCAATAAGGGTCAAGGATCGCTGGATAACTGCTTCACCCCAGTTAAGGACTCATCCACGGCTGGTACCAGCAACTGAGTAATTTTTTGACTAAAAGGCAATCAGATCTCGTGTTAGGCATATTCAACCATCATGTTTGAACCCAGCATTTTATGTTTTCTAGATTCGGTCAATTGGTGACTTAGCTCACATTTCTCTTGCTTTAATTCCGAAAGTTCCGACATCTCATAAAAACCTCAATAAATCCATCTTAAATTATCTCACCAGTAAGGAGCGCATTATTGATTATATAGTTGAATGATTTATGAGAAGTTGGTAGCTTTAAAAGAAGCCCTCATTATTATGAGGGCATTTTAACTTTTTAATAATTCGACTGCTATGAAGACGGTTTATTCCATATTATTATTATTATTATTATTATTATTATTATTATTATTATTATTATTTGTCCTTTGGGCTCCTAGTGGAACAAATGGCTTCAGTAGCACGTCGTCATTTCACTCTCTTCTCTGCAGTCTCTACAACCTAGCTCCATGACAGTCCAGAAGCTTTCATTTTTTCTCACATGATTTTCTCCATGTCACCCACACCTCGGACGCCCAACTTGTCGTTTTCCACTTGGTTTCCATTCGATGGCCTGGCCTGGAGCATGATGTCTCTGAACAGTCTTCTCAGTGCATCCCTAACATCTAAATCCGTCTCCACTTTCTTCTTCTGCATATTTGTTTGGCAATCGGCTGTCTATTGGTTCGTTGCCAGCCAGTCAGACTTCCTTATTGCCTATTCTTATTATTCTGGTCATCTGATCTTCAGTATCGAGTGAGCGTAAGCGGGAGCTGTTGATGAATGTCTGTAGTTTGAAAGAAATGCTTTCCGTGACGTGCCAAGTTTCTGAACCATCACATAGAAGCACTAACTTGACCGAACTAGTGTTGAAAATCCGGATATTGTTCTTCATGCTGAGTAGAGTGCATACTGATTTCTGATTAATAAAGACCTGTCTTACTATCTTTCTGATCCTGTCTTTGACATCATCTGTGCTGTCTGTAGTTGGAACGACCCTGTTTAGGTAAGTGGAAAGGACTACTTGCTTTAAGTTTCTTCCGTTGATGGTGATTGTAGCTTTTCGTTGTTGGTGGAGGTGGTGGTTGGGTATTTTCATCACCTCTGTCTTCTCAACTTTCGCTTGAAGTCCTGCCTGTGTTGCTTGTTCTTTCAACTTATTGGTTTTCGCCATTAGATCTTGGAGTTTGTGCGGACATTTCATCTCCCCAGATTTACTTTCGCTTTCATCGAGGGAGAGAAGACACAGCGGCCAATTAGCTTCCTGAAGGCTTTCATCAACTGGTGTCATTTCGCCTCTCTGATTCCAGCATGGAATAAGTTTAGGTTTATTTCTTATATTTTTTTGTACTTTGAACTTTCTTTAACGGTTAGACTGGTTTTACTGGGTAGGGTTGCTAGCCCTATGCCCAACCTTCTCTCTTTATCGGGGCTTAGGACCGGCTAGTAAACTAGGCGAGGTTAGATGGAGAAATAACGAAAACCAGAAGCATAGAACAGATAGTAAACTTCACTTTGAAACTTCCCATTTAATTACATATGAATTTTAAATCAATAATGGAGTCTTTCCATAAGGGTTGGCTACAACAACGTATTCATTAAAAAATTGTGTTTAATAATGGTAAGGAATGAGTGAAGGGTAAACAGCTTTTATCTGCATTTCCCTTCATTCTTTTCTTTATTACGAACCCATTTAATTATAAGTGAAATAAACGTAACTGAAATTTAGATAATTTCTAACATAACATACACTTTATCAGTATTGGTTGGTGATGTGTGTAATGCATAATAAATGTGTACTTTATTTCTCTGATATGTTATTTTTTATGAGTAGTAAACAGAAAACTGTCTTCATGTATCTTCTTGCTGATTAACATGCTGAAATAGAAGACTGAGGGGAATTCAAAATAAATCCATCGTTATTTTTCTTTCTGACGATGAATATGTAATATGCACCAAGTAATAGTTTTTAGCGAACCTAGAAGATTTGGATTCCGCCGGTGACTTGGGTCTAATGTCACACAAACTCGAAGATCTACAGGCGAAAACTAACAAGTTGACAGAAGAGGCGAGGCAGGACAGAGAAGACAGCACTCCAAGTGAACATAGAGAAGACAGAAACAGGTGATGAAGATACACAAACAATAACAGCATCACCAACAACAAGCTACAATCACCATCAACAGCAGAAACCTAAACGAAGTAGCCTCCTTCACCCCACACCTATCTAGGCAGCACTATTTCAACTACAGACAACACAGGCACACATGAGGATATCGAAGACAACCAGGATCAGAAAGACAGTAAGACAGGTGTTCATCAACCTGAAACCAGTGTGGAGATCTACTGCACTGAACTGAACTCAGCATACAGCGTGAACAACACCAACATCAGTGAAGTCAGTTCTGATATGTGATGGTTGAGAAACTTGGCGCATTACGAAAGGCATTTCAAACAAACTACACACATTGATCAACAGCTGCTGCCTACACTGGCTGGATACTGGTAGTGAAGCTCAGATGGCCAGAATAATTAGAGTATGCAAGAAGGAACTGACTGTGGCTGGCTGGCTAGGCGAGGCACTCGAGTGGAATACAGATGAGAAACGCTGAGTTGGTCGTCGTAGGTGAGGGTAACATAGAGGAGATGATGTGAGGAAGAAATGAGAGCTTATGGGCTGTCGTGAAGCGAGGTTCAAACGTTTGCAGACAACAGAGTTGAGACGTGCTACTGAAGCCCTATGTTCGATTAGGAAACCAAGAAACAAATAATAATAGTTTTTTGTCACTGATATCAAGCTTAACTGATCATTCTTTAAGACACCGGAAGTTATGATTCTAACTTCATTGTTTTTTGCAGATAGAAGATAAAATTCGATAAAATTTAATATACTAATGAATAAAATGAATTTTCTGGTATTTGCTAGCCTAACCAGAATGATTTTGAGACTGGAATCAATATTTATTAGTTACAAATTTTTTTCAAATAGATCATTCTATTCTGGTTAAAGAAATTCTGTCGATTAATGTGAGTAGTTTTTAACTACATATATTTTTCTGTGGTAAGCTTCATTGTTTCACGATACCGTAATATCAGCGTATAATCTTAGCTGAGTAGCTTTCAATGGAAACCTTGTT